TGCGGGGAGCTCTGCAAAAAACGCATCTTCGCACGGGCAGCCCGTGCGTTGGCCATTTATTTTTTTAATTTCCTCCGTTCACGTTGTTCCTATGCCGAATCTTATAGAGTGTATTTGGCGGTTTTCATACTGTGCACAACTGCTTGACCTTTACTGCATTGCTAACCACCACTCAGGCTGGTGTTGTTTTACGTTCCCAAACTTTAGCTCGAGAAAACCCGGCAAGGCGCCTTCTCGAAATGTTTGGGGTTTCCAAGATTTGTGGTCGGGAATTTTGTCGGATATGGATTAAAAATATGAATAGTCCAGTAGTAACTCATACAGTAACTTATACCTCAATATTTGGTGCCATCCAGCGGAAAACCATATGTCCCGGCGGACGATGCTGCAGCCGTTCCAGCAACAGTTCCAGGTTATTCATGGTACTGACAAAGCGAGCCTCCAGTTGCTTGTAAGCACCACTGTTGACGATTGAGAGCAGTGTTAGGCCAACGGGAAATGTTAGCGCAATTAGCGGATTATGCTCCACATTTGTCGGCATCACATCACCCAAGCCAATCGTTGCCATTGTCATGTAACTAATCAGCTGATCAACTGTTATGAGCTTACCTCCGAGCATTCTCACAGTTCCTGAGTTCCACTAATTCCTCTTAACTCTTCAGATTTGCTGGCAATATGTAGGATGCATATATATGCATAGGTTACGGAAATACAAAAATATCATCCAAATTTATTAGGGATACTAAGACCGCTCGGATAACCGATGCAGGAAATCGATACAAACTCGCTGTAAAAAAGTTAATCACCTGCAGAATTTTCAGTGGTACGGGGCTAAATGCAGAAATATCGAAAAACGAATTTGGATGCAGTTATTGCGCCTGATGTGGAAAATGATAAAATAATATTAGTGAAACTTACGAGAAGTAGAATGCATCGCCAAACGACATCCTTGTATATGGTTTACTCGAATGGTCAATTGCAATAACAATTAATGAGCAAATAGCTAAATAAATCGTGATGATTGGAACGAAGAGCTTTAATGGAAAATCAGCATCCTGAAACATTTATTTATGTCAATATTTACTGCAGAAAATGCATCCTATCAATTGCGTATTCTACATAGCTTCAATTCCATATATACATCATGCATGATCATGTAGGGCGGCCAAGAGGATGATTCCTTCTCCTACCGCATGCTCCGTTCGATTTGTGCTCACAGCTAAGGGATGAAACAAAGACTGCATCCTAACATGTCTTATTGCATATGATGGCATTAAATTGCATAAGTCTTAAATTATCGCTACAGCTGAACCTCATCATCAGTACAATTAATAGAAATAAGGGACCACGACAGAATTCATAGGAGAGTGTGGAAAAGATTGCTGGTTCCGGATTCTTACTTGGAACGTTTCAGTCACCAAAATTTATCCAAAATTTTTCAAATTTTGTGCTTTTTGCCGCTAATTTTGCAAAACATACGGTGAAAGACTTTTTTTCCACTTCGTGCAATTTAGCACTCCTTTACTAATTTTCGATCGCCACGTTTAAATTTATTTCATCAGTCAGGTACTCATCATCTTAACCTCTCAGAGGAACACTATCTTAATTTTTAAAATCAAAACATACTTGGAATAGGAAATCGCTGCTACTGCTATCAGAAAATTTGCGACCGCGCAATCGCATCCTCCTAAAATTTACAACAACAAATGAAATCTCCAGGATATGATAAAACACATGAATTAATAATACATTTGTTTCTTGAATGCAGTATGTCGTCTCGGACATTATCACTTTCAGACCATGATGAGATCTCTTACCGACTATGACGATGCTCTACTGCAAAAAATTACCTTGAAAAGCTAGAAATAACAAAAATTACCAATAGAATCGGCGACACATATTGTAAACTTTGGTCAAACAGCGCAGCAAGATACTTCCGACATCACTCAGCACGGCCAGCATAAGTGGTATACCAACAACGGAGTAGGCAACTGATAGCTGAACAATATTTCACTATGCAAAGTAGGATCTGTGCTGTGATGGAACAAAATTTGGACATTATGTTATGAAAAGTGATCCGGATAATTTTTGCAAAAACACCGCACGTAAATGGCAACGGAATTTGTTCTCAGTGTGTTCACTAAAACCTCCCGCAAATTTGAAAATGTGCGCTGACTGTGGTATAAATTTAAACGCCACAGTCTGGAGCTTGCAGGCAACATATCAATGTTCCCAGGTACTGAATGAAGCACAAGGGTCGGTAGTGTAGCGGATAACGATTTGGAAGTTAGACAACCGTGCATATGGACTAGTTTGATTCCCTTTCAGCTCGAGCCTCTTGAAAAAGGAGCTTCGCTTGTAGTAGGGAATGTGGAGTTTAGAGTAGAAGGACCTAGCATTTCTACATTCGACGTGGAATATATTAGTTATGCAGTGTCTCAATCTGTTGCCTGATTTTCTAGGTCTTGGTTACAAGGTAATTTAAGGTGTAGAACACGAAAACAATGGTACTACGGCAAACGACTAACTAGACTCAGTTTCGGTGGTACTTGGAACTCGGCTAAATAACTTTTAACCATATTTTCAATCATTTTTTTGAAAAACATACAGTTTTACCAAAAGTCGTGCTGCAAGCAATTGTTCCATACCCAATAGTCGTGAAAAGTGTTATTGCTGCAACGACTGTGAAAAATGTGGTAATTCGATTAATTCAACAAGCAGTGCTACTTGGAAAACAAATCAAAAAATAATTAATTCCATATTGACCTGGTACTTATGCAAACAATTAAAATTTGATAAAATAAAAAAATTGAAGAATTTAAGGGCTCTATTCTCTTCCATAGACTTCTGCGATGAAACACTGCGCACTGTGCTTTCTTGTGCAATATAACTGAGTTTATTAGCATTATTATCATTATTGTTATTGCTGTCAAGAATACCAAATTATTATTAATGCCATTGTCATTATCATTATTGTTGCTGTCGTTGTTGTTGTTGAGCAACAAAATGTTGGAAACGAAAATGTCACTAACCATAGAAAATGGCAGTACTGAAACTCCACATCAGTGCATCTTCATGTGCTTGCTTATGAAAAGTGCTTGTTGTATATTTATCTTCTGTTTTAAGCATTTCTTTATAGTAATCCCTGCAATTAGTGGTAACGGGCCGATATAATGCATTTCCAGTGTAGATTTCAAGCAAATGTTCCTGATTTTTGTCCTGTCCGGGGAAAAACAATTTCCCAGGTTTTTCCGACGCAGTTGTCAAATCCAGCATCAACTTGCCTTAAAGCAAGGCTCGAAAGAGCGAGTCATCGAAAGCCTCGCCAGGAAATGATTGCTGTTGACAGCTACTGTCTTGAAATGCGGAAGGGATTTTGACGTTGACTTTTGACGCCAAATAAGTGTTGGTGCCGAGTGGAGCAGACGGCTCAGGATCGAAAGGCCCAGCGTAGCTAGTACAGCATCCCCATAGTTTCAGTGGTATAGAATTCCCAGACCAACTGCCCGGGCAGTCTTGGTATTCTTGTCTAGTGGAATTCGCAGGGGAATGTGTAGATATTGAAGACTCAAATTATTTTCAGCCTACTTTCCGTGGAATTTTCGCTAAAGAAACATTGCCAACAATCTTTAGCGGTTATTGTTATTGCTGCCAATTCAAATTCTAGACATACAACCCGGTTCTTTTGTTTGGTAAAAATAGTGGAACTTTTGAATTAGCAGGTACGAATTTTTACCATAACGTAAGTTCTCTCCAAGTATGACCAAAAAAACTTATTTTTCTCCTTTTTGGTTGTAACTGCCTCCTGTATACCATTCGCTCAGACTGGTATAAAAAAAAGTACAAGAACAGATTGGGTTTTAAAATTGATCGAATCCAATTTATCTGGGTAATTATGATTACCTGATTATCATTTCGATGGTTTCCTGATGTGTATTTGTCAGTGTAAGATTTGAGGCCTTGAAAATATGGCCAGTGAGATTGCTTATCAAACTGAAAATTAGCAGTATTTAACCAGATTTAATTATTCTTTTTATTTTAAATTTCAGCGCTGATTAACTTTTCCTCGATTTTTTAATTATTACTTTGCTTCACCAGTTTGTTAGTCGTTCTTTGGATGTAACTTGAATCCTAAACTCTATGTGTCCTCTAGGCCTTTAGTGAATGACTTTTCCCGTCTCCATAAATCGCTGATACCTACCACGGCTTGGCACAGGGTCCTTTCAACCCACCGATCATAGACAATACAGAGTAGCAGCAAAATTTATTTAAGAATAGGGAACCCTGTATGACAGAAACCGGATACTGCACTCCAAACCAATTTAAAAAACTTGTAAAGTTTTCAGAAAGCTTACTTGTTCAATTTTTCGATGTTTGTCTCTAAATTTTGGACCTCGTGCGAATGCTCAGCTGCATGAAATGCAATGCCACCTAACACTGCGTACAGGGCTAAACTAGTTACCAGAACGCAGTGCCTTACGCCATATTTACTGTAAAACCTGCAAAAAATGAAGGAACGAATTAAAACTTATTCGGTAATGGCAATCGAACAAGGCGAAAAGGTGCCAAAAATATGAGTATCAAAATGCTTTCACGTTACTTTTTCAAGACTGATGGAAGGAAGAAAGGAGAAAGAAAAGAGGTAAAGTTTGTGCTTAGGACGAGTAGTCCAAAAATCCATCAATGCCAGAAAATGCTCACGAGCGAGTGATACCAAGATGCAGCTCTTGGCAAATACTTCTGGAATCCACATTCGGGCATAATTTAAAGAAAGACTTGGATGAAGACTGTTTTAGTAAGCCTATCAGCCCCAGTATCTATTGTACAGAATAATGTCTGATCCTCGCACTGATGCGTTAGCATCACTTCACACAAGAAAAAAAATCTAAAATTCAGGTTTTATTTTATTCAACGAAAAAATTAAGGCGAATCGACATCGCTCTATGCTTAAACTGTGATGTATAAGTGCAAAAACCATGGTACTTGACGGCGCGTTTTTTTTTTCAAAAAATTGAAATTTTTTTGGTTTGCATCAACGTAAAAAGAAAGAAAACGACTATATCCTGTGTCGATGCTTAATGTATTCTTATGAGTGTCTTTGCAGCACCCTTCTTCACCAAAGGGAACGAGAAGCTACATTGTGAGCAAGAATACGTAGCATTCTGACGTCTGGAAAAATGCCAAATGTTGAAAACTTGATAATTTCCGGTCAAAAAAAATTTCCGGCCAAACTAACCTAGATAAAAATCGGAAAAAACGCGTTCGTAATGTATTTTTGTAGACGACTTTTTTGACTGTTGAATTACTCTCGTCGGTGTGACCAAAATATCCTTTCAGCAACTGAAATGCGGGTGAGCAATTCAAAAGCTGATTTAGGCATATTTTTTTGTTCAGACGGCAGATTTTGGGCACATTAGTTGAACGGACGATGAGTTCCCTTGAAAAGGTAGATGACCGCTTTTCAGAAAATAACTATATTTGGTCAGTGCGTTCTTTTCGCTCATCGAGCACATATAAATGTCAAAATGTGTACATAGGACTGAAGGTTTTCCGGAACGTAATATTTAGAGAGCAGAGAAGGGAGAATCTGTTTGAATGGAATTAAGCTAAATGAGAAAGACCCAAAATGATAAAGAATGCAGAAGTTGCTGGTTGCACCAGTGGCAGGAAGTGACGCAACAATGAAACAACAACTGATCAAAGTAAATAACATTATATTGTTCTACTAAATGAATAAAGTTCTGGATGAATATATATGTGTATTTAATAACGTTCTGGCTAAAAAGTTCTCTTCTATGCGGAATCCGGTCAAAAGTGAAAGTTTAAAAACTGAAATTATACCAGCACGCTTCTCCTTCGGCCAGTTAAAGAGAGATCTGGTTGGTGTCTCGACTGCTCTTGCTTATTAGTGTTACCGTCTGATGAAAGTGCGCATTCTCCATTACTGAGCATGCAAATTTCTAAAATTTGTTGCTGGCTAAAATCGAAATTTGTTACAACTAATTAAGGATACTTGCAAGTTTTTTCCTGTGAGGAGACATAATTCTCAGATTGCAGCTAAGGA